ACGAACCGTACACTTGCGGTGATATGATTTCGAAATGTATTTTCGTGAACAACAGCCCTTCAAAAAAAATAAAAAAAAATTTAATTAAAAGTTGGCTTTGTGTGTCAGCGCCAAAACTGATAATTTTGATTGTTTTGACAATGAAAATTTGGGGCTTTAAGAGTGATTTCACACTATGCTTAAATGTTGTAATCATCGCAGGAGACCAAAACTGATAATTTTGATTGTTTTGACAATGAAAATTTGGGGCTTTAAGAGTGATTTCACACTATGCTTAAATGTTGTAATCATCCATTTGTACTCTAAACCTTGAAATCGAGTGAAGATCTAGTATATGAGACACCATCAAAGTAGATCTCAACTTGGATGTGGGACTTTTATTTTTTATATGGTACTTACATTTTGAAACTCATTTTTCTCCAAATTAATTTTTTATCAAACATTCTCACAATAAAATAATTTTGCACATGAATCCATTATTTTTTTGTTTACTTTTTAATCGCAATTTCTTTAAAAATTGCGATTAAAATACCGTGGACTACAACACTTAGGACGTTGTGTCATGTTCTTTGTTTCTCTATAGTACAATATGCAATCATTAATACATGCATTGATCTTCACTACTCCACGGCCAAGACTAGATAGCATTTTCTTTGTTTTATAAAATGTCACTTCTAACTGGTCACCTTCCGGTAAAATTTCCTTAATTATGGACAACATCCGATCATAATATGTTGTAGGCATATTAGATTCAAATTTCAGATTCAAGAGTCTTGCCATTGTCAAAAGTTTGGTATGATTACTACATCCAGGCCAAATAGGTTTGTCGGCTTCTTCTAGGAGTTTAAAGAAATTTGAAGCCTGTTGATTTGTAACATGTTCCACAGGAGCACACTGATCTTGATTGACAAATTGGTTGAACATCTCAGGGTCCATCGCATCCATTAGCATGTTTTGATGTGTACAGTTCATTGTAACTTGTGCAACTGAGGATTCACCAATATCTGATGTATGATTAACGAGTGGTTCACCATGTGCTATCCATTGTGTATAACCACTTCTAAATCCATTTCTGTAAAGATGAAATCTCACAGCATCTCCTTCTAGAAACCTCATATTGTCTCATTTAGAACACAGACACTTCATTTTATCTCCAACTCTTGGTTATGAAAAGGAAAATTCAATAAACTCTTCAACCCCTTTAATAAATATGTCGGAAAGAAAACCATCATTGGCTCGTTCAAATATCCAACTACGTTCATCCTCCATGTTGTTCAATAATGTTACATCTATATTTATACAAAAAGAAAATGAGAAATCTTCTCATTAATAGTACATATGTAACTAACACACTATAATAAAGAAAGCATTTGACCAAAGTAACTAAATTCTTTCCATAAATTCTTTAGATGCTTAAGTTCAGTACATAGAAAATCTAAACATAAAAAAGAATCAAGACACTGCTAAATATTGAATGCCAAATAACAATAACAAAAACGTAGAAAAATCACTAACAAATTATAATGCATTGTTAACACACGGTATCATATGGAAATAAATGTTCAAATCAAGAAACTTATCTCTTAAAAAATGGATTTCACACAAATAATTATAAATCACTCACCATATTACCTTGAAATGGAAATGCAAAATATTATGAGTATGATTCAAGCGTGTACCACGATATATATGAACTCCAAGCTTGATATTTCAATTATTCTTTGTAGAATTACAAAATACAGATAAAATTAGGCATTAGGTCGATTTTGGGGGGAGGAAGAAAAGTAGCTGGGGTGTGAGTTCGAGTTTTAGGAGAAGGAAGAAAAGTAGCTGTAAATTGAGATTTTATTTTTAGGCTCGAAACTGATATAGATGAGGATGGATCGGGTCCAATATTACCGATGGAATCACCAATAGAAATATTTGTTGGTTTATTTTTAAATGAATTTTAATTTTTTTATTCCAAATTTGCCTACTGAAAAGTTCATGGGCGAAAATTTTATAATATTTATTTTTTTTATTCAAAGTTTACCAACGAAATACCTACGGATAATGACTCACAACTGGTATATGTTGTTGTTTCCATCGGTAAACCTTGTCTTTTTAAAATAATTAAATTCACATATTGTTGGAATGGTAATCCGTCGCTATTAGGAATGAAAATGGACCATCGGCAATTTTCCATCGTTGAAGCCGCACTTTCTAGTAGTGTATATGTATCAGTTGCAATCAGCACCGCATATAAGCACCCACTTCATTAACATATCCATCAACGTTATCCCTGAACTTAAATAATCTTCACAAGTAGTACTGGTAGCATCCCCGACAAGTGATGTTCAACGTTTAGCTCGTGCACTCCCTAAAATTAGCCTTGCATCTTCATTCGACGTTGTGGGTCCAGGTCCTCTCTGATATCCATGGCCAGTATTATCTTCCCTGTTCTTGGCATTCACATCTACGATTCCGATTAATAACCTCATAACCTGAACCAAGAAATAGGATTTGTTAATTAATTTCGGGGGTTTATTGAACGATAATACCATAGATGGATCTAATGCTCCCAACAAAATATTTTATGTTCTATCTAGGTATAGTGGTATGCTCTATAATAGATGAATGGAAGTATAGTCAAATGAAAATACCTGTAGCTGGTGAGTTACAGCTGGAAGATGCAGAACTGTATTGCCTTCCTCATCTCTGCATCTCAAAACTACTGTGTCGTCATTCTACGAACCCAACCAAGCAAAACCTTAAAACCTTTTAAGTTTTTGTTTCCGACTGCATCTCGAATGGTCACGTCCTTGACTGAGGACGGGCATACGATAAGAAATCCAATCAAAAGATCGATGTTGTCATCTGATTCCACTGCATAATGCAAAAGAGTGATTCCTCCCCTCGGGGACACAAATGATGTCCGGATCATCAATCATGTCTGACGTGTCGCTTCTCAGTGGTGATGATGTGTCTATTACGCAAAGCCAGGTCCAAAGGGGTTTGACCATCAAGGTTCAATTTCCTCCCCAGCGTTGGCTTTGACCATCATTGTAGGATTTTAACCTAGAAGACTACACTTTCCTTTGTTGTCTTCAGGGTGGGTGGCTGAATGTGTTAATTAAATTGAACTTGGAGATTTGTTCTTCAACCTCAGGGATTATAGCTCTAATTCGTGTGCGAATAAATGCTTGAGATCGTGTTTGTTCTTATTTACATTTCTGTCTACATTATTTTCTAATTTACACTTTTCTTTATTGTTTTATTTTTATTTTAGGTATGGTTAATACACAGTTAATTACTTTTAGGTTTTCTTAACAAAGTTTTTGATTAAAGTATATAGCTTTTTTTTTTTTCAGTTAAAACGATGCCTCTCTGTCTTCCAGCTACTGTAATGCTGCTGACTGCCTTAGTGCCTCACGAACCAAAAATCTTGGCTCCACCATTGAATATAACAAACTTTGTTTATCCATGAATTTCAAACTAATAGCCCATAAGTGCAAGCCCTTCAATTTAGGCTCCCTTTGCTAAATTCATAAATCATTTATAATGGATCAACAAGTATTAATTAATTGTCCATTACACATTTTTATAAATTTTTCGCAAACAGAGGCTTAAACGGACTCTAAGTGATTACAGCTCAAACGAAAGTTAAAAACTTCCTCAAGCAACACATGAAAATTAAAACAGTAAGACATTGGGAGCTAAGATGTGCTTTTTGCAATATTGATTGTGAGACATGACAGAACATTTGATGCAGTACCTTCATCGT